GTTGTCCTTCTCCTAGATCAGTTGCCACCCAAGCTGGGCGTGGGAGAAGAAGAGGATCATATATATATATATATATATATATATATATATATATATATATATATATATATATATATATATATGTGTGAATGTGTGTGTGTAACGAATGCACGGCCGCAATTTTCGACGGATTTGCACCAAAATTTACATGCACATGCTTCAAGTTAGCGGTAAGGCCAAGACCGACTTTTCATTTCCCAACTCCCATCGATAGTGGAAATAATCGATTTTTTCATGCTTCTACGGCAGTTTTCATGTAGTTCGCAGCCATTTTGTGCTGGCCAGCGTGAGAGCCAACAGCTGACTGACACGAATGTTAACTAGCATGCTAGCATGGGAAAAAAATCGATAGCTGCATACGTCACAAGTGGGAAAAATTTAAATCTGCATGGCACTTTACTCCAGTTGGCTTATTCGCTTGCTTAAACTCAAATTCTGATTCCGCAGAACTGGGTTGGGTGTGAAAAAGTATTTGTTATTAACATTCTTTTTTCATTCGGTTTTTCCAGTTACAAAACTTTTTTAAAGCTGATCGTTTTGTGTTCATTTTGTTTAGTTCTTTTTTCGTAACAGATTTAATGTTTAGTATAGAGCTTAGAAAAAATTCGCAGTGTGAGATAGGCAAGAAGTAAGGCATGTACCAACATCAGCAAAGCAAACGGCACTCCTTTAAAAGCAAGGAAGGGCAAAAATATTTTAAGTCAAGTGATAGCGATTGCTGTATGTGTCGTATGATTTTTGAATCAAGCACGGGCAACGCCGGGCCATGTTGCTAGTATATATATATATAAATATATATATATATATATATATATATATATATATATATATATATATATATATACACGAATGTCAGTGTATCATACTTTTTCAGCTTTACTCCTAGAGGCTGTAGCGCCATCATATCATACCATTTGGGAATCATGCCGACTCCGTGAGAAAATGAAAAACATTACGGACCGGATCCGGCCCCACAATTTTGAAATTTTGGATTCCCAAGTTTTCATTATTTTGATTGTTTTTTACATAATTTTTTGCGACAAATTTTTTAACAATTTTTAGAACTTCGAAATAAATTTAACAATAATTAAAATTAATTGCGAAATTAATCGCGAAAGTCCCCCATGAAATAAAAGTAATTGTTTGTACGGAAAGTAAGTAGCAACGTTAAAAAAGTTAATTAGAAAATTTAATTAAAGAAATATAGTTTACATACGGAGGGGCTGAAAAGTTCACAGTTCACCCAATTCCCTAAATCTAACAAAATAATAAAGAATTATACTTCGTTAATAGATATTAAGATTCTTTAAATAGATAGTCCCGTGCAAATGAAAACCCAGATGAAATGGCAGCCAGAAGAACTTCCAATGCTGAGAATATGTAAAGACTTAGAAACTCTCCAACTAATGAACAAGCCAAAGACCCAAGCGAAAATTTAGGAATCCTAATTTAGATTCCTAAATTTTCGCTTGAGGATGAAACAAGGCTCTAAACTTTAATTCAACTTAATTTTAATAATTATATTGAGGTTTTTGGTTCTTGTTCTTGAAACTTGAGAACTCTTATGTAGCGAAGGAATCATATTTAAAAAAAAATAATTATAATATATATATATATATATAATGATATTATACGAAAATATTACTTAACTTATATATATATATATGTGTGTGTGTGTGTGTGTGTGTGTGTGTGTGTGTGTGAACATCAAATCTTCAAAACTACAACCCCAGAAAACTGGAAATTTTACTAAGAAACTTCGATGTCGAGCTAAAATTAATATTTAAAAAGTTCTGTAATCTTTTCATATATTATCATATATATATATATATATATATATATATATATATATATATATATATATATAATGATATTGTATGAAAAGATTATTTTTATATATATATATATATATATATATATATTTGTGTGTGAATTTATCTATATAATTCATATAAATATTCTCCTAAATTCACAATCTTGCATTTCTTCGTGAGGTATTTTTGTAAAATCGATATCGAATTTAAATAGTTTTCGTTATTCTTTGAAATTCTTGAGCGTCAGAGAACACAGCCGAGAGGAAGACAGAAAACTAAACCGTTAGAATCCGAAAGGATTCATTGGAATTAAATATGACCATTATTCTAACCAAAGATCTAATCTATATTATATATATGAGAAAGGGAAGAAGAAAAAAATAAAACGAAAGCTCGATGTTGCAACATCGTAGATTACTGAAATTGTGTCAATGATCCAGAAACTTCATAAAAAATTGACTGAAATCATCGAAGAGTTGATTAAATTTCATTATAGTTGTGACATCTCCAAGCAAATCAGACAAGTATTCGATAATTCATTTATCTTTAATTCACTTTTCTCCCAAAATAAAGTCAGAATGTCAAGTTAGACGCTTCATATCTTTTCATCTAACCTCATGTAAAAGAGTCTTGTGAAAAGTTCTCGGTTCGACCATAAAAGGACTCTCGAAATGTTTCAGATTTCGTGATTTGGGTCGGGAGGATTTTTTGGGTTTTTTTTTTCTAACATTATACACGTCATGTATAAAGTTAGATTAGAAGATATAAACGTTCATTGAATTTGACATCATCATTTCATTTGGATAGAAAAGTTAATTAAAGAAACATAGTTTACATACGGAGGTGCTGAAAAGTTCACAGTTCACCCAATTCCCTAAATCTAACAAAATAATGAAGAATTAGACTTCGTTAATAGATATTAAGATACTTTAGATAGATAGATAGATAGATAGATAGATAGATAGATAGATAAACGGAGTATTGCTGCAATATATGGTCTGGAGCCCCTTCTGTTTGCCTCGGAGTTCTTGATAAGCTCCAGAGGCGGATATGCAATATAATTGGCCCTGCTCTGGCATCTCGTCTGCAGTCACTCTCTTCCAGACGCGCCGTCGCCTCTCTCTGTCTTTTTTACAAATATTTTCATGGTAATTACTCCGAGGAGCAATTACCATCTACTCCAATACCTTCATATCTCGCACCTCTTGCCTGTGGAACTCCCTTTCCTATTCCAGTTTCCATGAGAGCTATAATCTCCAACTATTCAAATATAATGTCAATCGACATCTCCAGTTGCCTTGATCTATCCACTATCCTTCTCTTCATCCTTTCCTCTATCACTCCTATCTGATCTTGCTGCAAATCCTCTGTAACCCCTTGCGTCCTAGTGGCTTCTCGCCTTGCTTGGGGTGAAACGCTTAAAAAAAAAAGATAGATAGATAGATAGATAGATAGATAGATAGATAGATTGACGTAATAGCCAACGCTGCATTTTGTCTGTAAATTTCAATCCTCAAGCAAACATCAGATCATATTTATATTGAACAGATAGATAGATAGATAGATAGATAGATAGATAGATAGATCAACTGACATATTAGCCAATACTTCATCATGTCTGGAAGTTTCCCGCCTTAAGCGATATCCAATCCAAAATATCAAACTAAGAAAACCTTTAATCATCGGGAAGTCTTAGATTGGATTCCAATTCTATTCTTGGTCGGTTATTGATTATTGAGCTTTTATATCCGATTAAATCATGGCAGGTTTCTTAATAATTTTTTTCACCTGCGATTCTGACCTCGTTTCTTTTGTTTCATAATTTTTTTTTAATTTATTAATTGTAAGATCTAGAATTTTTCCAAGTCCTGAAAGGAATTCACATTCTTCAAAAAAATACCTAATTCGATTATCTATTTATATTGTAAAATTTCACGCATCCAGCTATATATATATATATATATATATATATACATATATATATATATATATATATATATATATATATATATATATATATATATATATATATATATATATATATATATAGATATATATAGAGAGAGATATATATATATATATATATATATATATACACACACACATATATATATATAGTGGTATATATATATACACACATATATATATATATTATATATATTGAGGAACAGCAGAAGTGGATAACGAGTTTGAATTCCAGTCGAATCCACTGCATTCCATTATTCACTAATACCCTTGGGAAAGGTATGTATCCTCTTCATCTCCCTCCAGCTATGGGTAAAATAGCAGGACAGACTGAGTTCTATAGCCTTGGATGGCAACTGGTCTAGGAGAAGGACAACTCTGAATTCAAAACCTGCGGAGGGTCGTTTGGGAACCTTGTGGCATGCATTCGGTGCACCAGGTTTCTGTATTCGTCCCTCCAAAAGTGTGGCTGGTCCTGCACAAGGACTTCACCACTATAAACAAATCTCATGTGCCGGTGTCGGGATGTCGGTTCCTGGGGACTTATCGGCCTGACCCTCATACGTCGAACGACGGGAGAGGATTTATATATATATATATATATATATATATATATATATATATATATATATATACCTAAAGCCAAATCAGCTTGTAGATCCGAGGGCCAAATCCACGTTTATTGATAAACTTGTTATATCTTTCTACTATAATATTTAAACATATGCGTGTATATATATATATAAAAGATATATATAAAGATATATATAAAGTGAACATTGAAGTCAACACTCAGGGCGACAGGCTGTTTCATGTTGGATGCAATCGTCAGGCAGCCTGACGATTCCATCCAGCATGAAACAACCTGTCGCCTCTGAGTGTTAACTTCAATGTTAACTTTTATATTTATATTTACATAGGGTCTATCTATCTATCTATCTATCTATCTATATATATATATATATATATATATATATATATATAGTTGTGGGAATTAATAAATATATATATATGTGTGTGAGTGTGCGTGTGTGTGAGAGAGAGAGTGTGTGTGCGTGTGAGTGTATGCGTGTGTATCTTTCGTTAAGTATGAGCGACGTGAACAATTTTATTAATCTATTTTTCTTATTTCCTATATAGAAAGAATTGAATGCTTCCTAGAAACTGATTCATTCAGATCTGATGATTCCATCTTTTTTTTTTACTTCCCGCCAAAACTCTAAAGTAAGACAAGACAGCCAGTATATGCATTACTATGCACCTGCATTCTGCAGACACCTTAATCCGCTTTTGCAACAGTTAAACGAGGAATGGAAGCGAGTCGCAGATAATTCCATTGGATCTGATACCCACGTGGTGTCAGATTTGAAATACGGTTACAGGCATGTACAACATTTGAAGTCAGCGGCATTTTGGCGACTTCATCAAGAACTTCTTGGAAGAACAGAGGACGGTCGGAACAACAAAAAACTATGCAAATTAAGTGAAATAAAATACATCCTTTATTATATACAATATATAAAGATTCATATATATATATATATATATATATATATATATATATCAAGGAAAAAATTAACGCATCATCGAAAACGATTATAAATTATAATTTATTTCACAAGTAATTTTTTTTAATACTTGTCTCATCAGACCGAAATTACAAATGGTATAATTTTACAAAATGGTTTAAATTCATCCAGACAATATTTTTAAAAACCAGAATGCAGGAAGTGTAGACGCTTAACCTAGAAAATCTATTTTCTGGTGATTTATATTGTTGAAGACATGCAGCTGTCGACCCCATGTTCAAGTGTGGTGTTTGGGAGAAATACATTAAAATAAAGATATACATATAGACACATATACAGACATACACACACATACATACATGCAATACACAAAAGAGAAAAAGAAGAGAAAATAATGAAAATTAATATTTTATTTACAAAAATTAGTAAGAAATATGTCACTGAAAGTATTGCACATTGCTAGCCATCTTTCTATCTTTCTGACAGCATTTGAATTCCACGTCGGAAAAACGACACGTCTTTTGCGGCTAACTACGAATGGATGCATTTTTTGGCACCGTCATAAGAATGAAAGTGCTGCTCCGCCAGGCCATGTGCCATCGATGGGGCAATGTGCTATCGGACGGTGCGATGTCTGGTGAATACGGCGGGTGAGGTAGCACTTACCATTTAAGCGTTTCGAAGTAGGTTTTTTTTTCCATCATGTGGCCTAGCGTTGCCATGTTGCAAAATCACTTTCTCGTGTCTCTGCTCGTATAGTGGCCGTTTTTTCTTCAATGCTCGGCTCAGACGCATCAATTGTAGTCGATAGCGACCTCTAGTGATGCTTTCGGTTGGTTTAAGCAGCTCATAATAAACTACACCCAGCTGATCCCACCGAATGCAGAGCAGAAGCTTCGAAACATGGATATTCGGCTTTGCTTTGAGGTTGATGCATGGCCAGGCTTACCCCACGATCTCCTACGCTTAGGGTTATGGTATTGTATCTACTTTTCATTGCCGGTCACGATACGATGCAAAAAGCCTTTCTTTTTCTGCTATTGAAGCAGCTGTTCACACGTGACAAGACGCCGTTCGATGTCTCCAGCCTTCAACTCGTATGGCACTCTTAATGATTCTGCAAGTTCAGCTTGCGCATGACAGAAGTTTTCATGAAGTAATGCCTCCAATTATTCGTCTGCAAACTGTTTCGGTGCGCCAGAGTGTTCTTTATCTTCAACATCAAAAGCATTATTTTTAAAACGTTTAAACCAATCACTGCATGGTGTTTCCGAGAGAGCATGATCGCCGTAAGTCTCAACAAGAATTCTTTGAGCTTCAGCTGCAGATTTCTTTTGAATAAAGTAGTGCAGTAAAATTCTAAAAACAAAATTGTTTACATTTCGCCGAAATGACATACACTGAATTTCAAGCTTGCTTATAACACTTCCTTACAGATGCGTTACCACCTGAAACTGCACACACGCAGTTTTTGAAACGCCATATATTGGAAAACAACGAGAACTTACTCAAGGTCCTAATATATATATATATGTTAGCTCTATCTATGATATTGAGCGCTTTCTAATAAGTACCGCGCATATATATAAATAATTATACATACTTATATTTATTTATATTTATATACACTTTTTTATATATATATATATATATATATATATATATATATATATATATATATATATATATATATATATATATATATCTTTCCTTAAATATGACGGACAAGGATACTTTCATTAATTATTTAATTAGTTTTTTTTTCCGCGTTTTTACATTTTCCCGTTTGGCGGGAATGAAGCAGTACAAAAACTGTCCGTACTGTCCACTGCCACTGAGATTTATTTTAGTGTCGTTAATTTCACTTCATGTTTTGAGAGTTTGAGATGCATTTTTGTGTGCTTTTGAATACTAGTAGAAGCGTTTATTCCGAGGCTTCGAGTGGAGAGCATTGCCGAAAAGTCGAGTGAGCGTCATTCTATTTTTTTTAATGTTTCAGCGCGCCACTCCCATTTTTAAATAAGGTGAGGTTGATAGGCCGAATGTGATTTTTGTTATATGACTAACAAGGCCTAAACACCCCCCCCTTGAAAATCGCTAATGAAATGGCCGAAGGCGCTTCTTACAATGGACAGTATAGACTGTTTTTTGTAATCCATCATTCCCACCAAACAAAAAAATGTAAGAACGCTGGAAAAAGTTAATAAAAAATTTATAAATTTTCCTTGTCCGTCATATTTAAGGAAATATGTTTAAGAGCAAGGTTACTGCCTAAATATAGATTAATCATATATATATATATATATATATATATATATATATATATATATATATATTTCAGTTTTTTCATTTTTTTCTTTTAATCTTCAATTGAAATCAGGTATAGCAATTTGTTATAAGAATATAACTGAACCAGCCTCAATATCCGAGGCGTGAAACTGACTAGGTATTGACAATATATATATATATATATATAATATATATATATATATATATATATATATATATATATTTATCAGTGGCGATTCTAGGTAATCTAATGTTTGTCATGCTCATTATTATCTTTAACAAAATATACTATTGATATAACTTAAATGCTAAAATGATTTCTTTACTCTAACTGAATATCATTTTAAAAATATCTGTTCATGAAATTTAAAACATATTTTGGTATTTTAATATTTATAGTAATAATTCTATAAAAATAAACCTTTATTTTAAAAAAAATCCAGTCATGTTACAAAAAACTGAAGACAAAGCCAGATATGTTTGTTCTTTTTAAATAACGTGTATATCTATCTCGAGTGTGCGTTTGGAGATATATCTATGCGTCAGTGTGTTTATGTATCTCTCTGTGAATGTTTAGTTTAATTTATTGTACAAGTTTATGATTAGTACTGCTGACTGATATCATATTTCCTCAGCACGGCCCCAGTCACACACCTCACCCGAACCTTCCAATTGACGATTTAAAGCTGCCACTTTATTTGATTTTCGCCGAATTTAAGGTCGGCCTAAATTTAATTTGATCTTTCTCAAAAAACACATTCCGCTAAAATCCTCATACTGTACGAAATAAAGTATTTAAAATGGACATTTGGGAACAATATGTTGAAATCGGGAGTAAAAGAATATTTATAAAATGAAAACAAGAAATACATCGCCTGTTAAGTATGTCTCTCGCTTCGATCAAGCTCAGGCCTACTCAGCCCGACGAGCCACGTTAATTTTATTTCATTCTTTTTTTATTTACTTAATTTGTTTTTTTCTTTCTTTATTTATAGACAATATCAACGAAATGTAATTCGGATAATATTTTGAGACACAAAGTAAAAAACAATTAATTTTCGACCCAGCAAAAGTCTAGAATAAATACGACGCACGACGAAAGATGTTTGTTGCTTTGAAATAGAGATAATTTGATGGTCGTTCTGTGTAGCGGCGGAGTGGCTTTCTTAGTCCAATAATTCTGAGAGCGATGTCGTCGAGAGTTCTAAACTCCTGTGAGTTGGCGACAAGATCGAAGACGAGGACCCAGATTCAGTTCGACCAACCCACCTTGTCCCCTATCTATGGGTTAATTAGTAAGACCTGAATCACTAAAGTTCATAAGTTTGAGTCTTATTATTGGTTAATAAATAAGCAGATAACTTAGGTTAATGATCGATAGGATATTTTACATTTTGACATTCCATTAAAATCTTTAGATAATAGGCAAAGATGAATTGAAAACAAAAGCCCAATGTATTGATGAGTATCGATAGATATCCAGAAATATTCGTTGATATCAGGAATCGATCCTGATTTCATTTTCTAGGAAACAATTGTATTTTTTATAAACCTTTTCAATTTATTAATACATCTCTCTTTCTCTAAGTCTCTCTATTTTTCTTTCTCTCTCTCTCTCTCTCTCTCTGTCTATTTCTCTCTCTTTTTCTTTCTCTCTCTATGTCTATTCCTTTCCCTTTCTTTCTCTCTCTCTCTATGTCTATTTCTTTCTCTCTCTATCTGTCTGTCTTTCTCTCACTTTCTCTCTCTCTATATATATATATATCTTTCTCTCTCTTTATCTCTCTCTGTCTCTGTCTCTCTCTATATATATATATCTTTCTATCTCTTTCTCTATCTCTCTCGTTCTCTATCTCTTTCCTTCTCTATCGCTCTCTATGTCTATCTATCCCGCTATCTCTCTTCACCTGTATTTCATTTCTTTGTAATATGTTTTATCTCTCTTTAGATATGTACGCAGATATGTCTAAGAGAGGAACTGCAAAATTCTTGGGCCAACCCACTTCTCAAAAAAGGACCAATCTTCAGAATGCTTAGAGAATACCTTCATGGTTGGTCTGAGAGCTTTTCAGCAACTCCATATATATATATATATATATATATATATATATATATATATATATACATACCAATAAATCTCACTTCCGTGTACTTTATAGTTCTACCCGCATATCCATACCAATATATCTATCTATCTTTCTTATTATCTATCTGTTTATCTATTAATTTATTTATACCTATCTATCTATCTATCTATCTATGTACCTGTTCGTCTGTCTATTCACATCTTTTTATCGTAATTTCATCATCTCTTTTTATCGACCTATCAATCTTAATTTTTCTGTTCGTTTTTCTGTTCATATCTATATTTGTGTTTCTGGTTTCAGATATCTATTTATCTAAACATTTGTTTGTGTATTCATATCTTGCTAGCTCGATTTCTATTCTGTTAATATCTATCTCAATTTGTTTATATCTATCTATATGTCTATCTATATCAGTCTGTTCATTATCTATCTATGTCAGTCATTTCATTATCTATCTATCTATCTATATATATATATATATATATATATATATATATATATATATCTCAGTTTGTTCATTATTTACCTATCTATTTATCTATGTCAGTCGGTTTATTATCTATCTATCTATCTATCTATCTATCTATCTATATATATATATATATATATCAGTTTGTATATTATTTACCTATTCTATTTATCTATGTCAGTCGGTTTATTATCTATATATATATATATATATATATATATATATATATATATATATATATTTATATATATATATCAGTTTGTTCATTATTTATCTATCTATTTATCTATGTCTATCTATTCATTATCTATCTATCTATCTATCTATGTTCATTATCTATCTATCTATCTATATCTATATCTATATATATATATATATATAGATAGATAGATAGATAGATAGATAGATATATGTCAGTCTGTTCATTATCTACCTATCTATCTATGTCAGTCTATTCATTATCTATATATCTATATATCTTTGTCAGTCTGTTCAATATCTATCTAAATAATTATCTATGTCAGTCTGTTCATTATCTACCTATATATATATGTGTGTGTGTGTATGTGTATGTGTGTCCGTTCATTACCAATTTATATAATTATCTATGTCAGTCTGTTCATTATCTATCTCATGTTGTTCATTATCTATCAGGCTTCTCTCTCTCTCTCTCTCTCTCTCTATATATATATATATATATATATATATATATATATATATATATTTATCTATCTCAACTTGTACACTATCTATCTATATATATATCCAAATGTAAAAGAACGTAGAGTAAGATTTCAGCGTTCAAAATATTAATTTAAAACAGGGATCAATTCAAAAGTAGACCAATAAATATTTATTATGCAGTGTTACATTAGAACATGCACATTCCCACTACAAAACTGTACATCTTGTTTCAACTTTTAAAAATTTTAACGTTGAAACAATATGTACAGTTTTGTAGTGGGTATATGCATGTTTTAATGTAACACTGCATAATATATATATATATATATATATATATATATATATGTATATATATTGCCAGTCTACAAATTTCCAGGGAGACAAGCTTCAAGATAGGACATCTAACGTAGACCTGTTTTAGAGGTGTAATATTGGGGGAATCGAGACTTTTATCATACAGTCTCAGTTATGGTTGACTGGTCATGTCTTGAGAATGTCTGATGACAAGATACTCAAGATCCTAATGTACAGCCAGTTAGATCAGGGCTACAGGAATGTAGGACGCCCATGGTTAAGATACAAAGACAAGCAGTTAATATACCACAAAACACCCTTGAGCGTTTAGCCTTGGAGCGTGTAGAATGGAGATCAACGTATTTTAATGGACTCAGCAATTTTCAATCTGCTTGTCTAAATCATCTTCAAGAAGCGAGAGCATGATCTAAAAGGTCAGCCAATCTAACAGTGATCTCATCTCACAATCCTCACACTTGCTCCATATGTGGCCTCCTTTGTAAATCACTAGCAGGTCTTAAATGCCACTTAAGATTATCGCATAAACTTTTATAAATGAATCAACTAAACTGTCAGATCCTGATACGACGAAACCGACGGGAGAGTCCATCATATATATATGTATATATATATATATGTATATATCTGTTCATTATCTGTCTTAGCCTGTTCATTATCTATCTAATTGTCTATCTGTCTATATCAGTCTTCATTATCTATCTATCTATCTATCTATCTATCTATCCTTGTTTATATTTATGTAAATCTGTTCGTATCTATCTCTCACTAAGATTCTTCCGTCTTCTTTATCCCTATGCTGACACTATCTATCTATTGGCAAAAATCTGCAATACCCAAAATAAATTATTATCTATATCTATCACTGTATATGTATATGTAGAGTGTGTGTGTGGGGGGGGTGCGTTTGTGTGTGTCTGCTCGGGTTTGTGCGTGGCGATTATTATTTTCCCGGTAAAAAAAAAAATACAGAATTCTACAAATTATGAGACCTGTCCGTTTTTTTTTGTTTTTTTTTTGGTTGTTTTTTTTTGTTTTTGTTTTTTTTTTTGTTTTTGTTTTTTTTTTATTTGTCTTTTTTTTTTTGTTTTTTTCTTTTTTGCTTTTTTTTCCCCCTCCCTACCATCAACTCCAGGACAACCATGGCACATTGACCATTCTTTTTCTTCGTCACCCAGCTGTTATGATCTTTTCAGTTTGGACATTTTTGTGTACCAAAATCAAAATCTTTTAAAAAATGAATATATCAATAAGGAAAAAAACGTGTCGACTAGAGATTTTTTAATTTTTTTTTTTTTTTTTGGTAAAGTCACCCATTTTGAACTCTGACCTTTCACACTGGCTCTTCCCAATTAATCACTGTTTATAGAGATTTCCCATATATTATTTTTCATACACGCTTCCTATTTTGAAAATATGCGTGTGTGCGCATGCGTGCAATGTTTACTGAAAAAAAAATCAAATTTCATTACGAGACTGTATTTTTTCTTGACTCCTCTTCACTGCATATACCTTGATACTGTTGTATTTGTTTTGTATCATTGATGTAAAAGAACAAATAAATAGGTTTCAATTCTAATTCACCTCTGCGTTTCGTTGTTATTTCCAGTCGTAACTGGAGGCTTACACCGGAGATCAAGTGACAACAAGTCTTTCCCGATTCTTCTTCTTATTATTATTATTATTTAGTATCCTTTTCGACTATTCGGTGTTACCTCCGGGTGATGTCGATCATATCTCAGCTCCCGACCAAAGTTTAGACACGCAACACGTTCCTCAGTACATGGAGGTGTGCCAAGCCACGATGCCAGCGGCACACTCCCAGTGATGTCAAGTGTCCCCAAGGAGTCTTGCTAGATATAAACCTTTCTGAAAGAGTTCCTCAAATGATGCGATTTGAGTTGTTGCTTGATACATTTCTCCCATCTGATCTGCAAGGTCTTGGTACCTCTTGGTTGCTTTGTCTTCACGATGTTCTTATCCCACGGTACCGCATTTTCTAAAAGGAGCCATTAATGGCTGCTCTTGTGCACACGTGTAAAATCAGGGCAATTTCTCTCCAAGCGCTTGTCAGTCAAAACTTTTGTAGCCCTCATCAATTCACTGACACATTTTCGGCTACTATTTTATTTCCTTTGATTTCTGGTATGTACTCATTTCTTTCCGGGACCCGCCTAAGGACCTAAGGTTAGAAATGGCATCATGACATTTTCCACTGCAAAAAAAAAAAATACATAGACAAAACCCTTCGTAAGGTGTGGGCTGTACTCGTGAGAACAATTTTTTGTATTTCTTTAAGGCATGGATTTCCAGAGATCCTTTCAGTTAGTCTACTGGAATCTTTTCCAACCAATCCGAGGGCTCCAACTACAACGGGAATTGTTGATGTTGCCATGTGCCATATTTTTGAGATTTCGATTTCAAGGTGCTTGTATTTTGATAGCTTTTTGAATATCTTCAAAGGTACATTGCAGTCTGCAGGTACTGCCATATCAATAAGGAAGCACTTTTTTGTTTGCTGTCTCTAATAACAACGTCTGGGCTGTGAGCTTTGATTGTTCTGTCAGTGTGTATTGCGAAGTCCCATAAAATTGTTACAGGTCCTATCTCTGTAACGGAGTCTGGATGGTGTTCATACCAGTTTCTTTCAGTCTTTCTTTCTTTTCAGTTTCCTTCCCGTAGAAGTTGCAGATTTTCCAGTGCGGATATTGGCCAACTCTGTCAAGCCGGGTTTTATATTCAGTGGGTGCCAATACCATGCAACCTGATACAAGATGATCGATTGTTTCTGAGTAATTATCACAGAACCTGCATTTTGGGCTAACACTATATTTTAGTATATGTGCTTGATAATTTCGAGTAAACTAACACTGATCCTGTGCAGCAAGGATAAAACCTTCCGTTTCAGCTTTTAACCCTGCACTAGAAACTTTGATTTCTGTTGTCTACTCATTTCCTTCTGAGTCTCAACTTGTTTGGCACAGTCAGAGTATGCACCATAAAGATGCTTATCTTGTCATCATTTCTGCATTTGATGCATTGCATTTGCTTTTGTTTTTGAGCTTCTTTGCCGCTGCAGTAGGTGTATTATGTTTTACTTGGATTTCTTCATCCACTTGAAATTTCATTTTGAAATTGTTGGCTTCCTTTATTTCTGAATAAAGTTTCGTATTTCTTTCATGTCCTTTGATACTGATCATCATCCAGTCTTTTGTAGTTTCCAGGTATCCTTGACGACCGATTGTTGTACATACAGACACGATCAACATCCTTCTTAGGATGATGTATGCGGTACAAGTAAGAACTTTTCTCGTTTTGACATCCATTCGTTTAATGTCAGCTATGGTCTAATTAAGGATATTGAAACAGTATTGCACCACAGGGACAGCGAAAGTGTTTATGGCTGATATTCTATTATGTGAATTCAACTCAGCATTTAACATCAGACGCACACGCCTATAGTATTCTTTTCTTATTTTCTCCATCATTTGTTTTTTCCTTCGCTGATTCCTATTTATCCAGTTCCCTAATCTTTGCAACAAAATCCAGATTTATTCAATGATTTTTTTTTTCTGAAATTCTCCCTTTCTCATTACTTTTGCACATTTATCTAATCCGAAATCCATACTGATGTCATCACTGAAACATTTTACAGTATTGGGAACACTCTTTATCGCTTTGTCGTCTTTGACAAAGAATTTGATTTCATCCATGTAGAATACGTGATTAAAAATGTTCATTTAAGACATTTTTTAATGTTTATACGTTCTTTTTATAGATGCAAATATTTAAGTAAATGCTCTGTTTATAATAAACAGTAGTAACGACATTTACCTGCCTTTTACGGAACCGTCATATAGCCTGATGTGCTTTTACCGATGGAGCCACAGAAGAGTGTTTCGGTTAGCAAGGTCGATTTTACTGTTTTTAAACCACAATTCTCCATGATTTTCTCTAGTACGTTCATATCTGCTTGATGCGTATCCAAATATAAACAAATGACGTCACACATTATGAAATGGACAAAGTCCGACAATTATTTTAAGACATTTTTTTATGTTTATATGTTCTTTTTTATAGATACAAATAATTAAGTCAATGCTCTGTTTATAATAAACAGTAGTAACAACATTTACCGGCCTGAATGTCGGAGAAATTTTCATAGAAAATATGCGTCCTCCGACAGGAATCGAACCTGTATCCTATAAATGTTGTTAATACCGTTTATTATAAACAGAGCATTTACTTAAATATTTGTATCTATAAAAAGAATGCATATAAACATAAAAAATGTCTTAAAATAATTGTCGGACTTTGTCCATTTCATAAAATTCTAAAATAAAATTTTCATGTTCTTGTTTACTTTCTATTCATAGTTATTAGCGTTTAGTTCATGCGAAAAGGGGATTAAAGACAAACAGAAGGGGGTGAAAGGGGGTGACAGGGAGTCTCATTGGAAGATTCCTCGTCGGATATTCAAACACTTGGAAGAGAAAAAGTACAAAAATTGGAAATGGTAGTACCGTTGGTGTAATTTAGGTATAATGTTTTTTTCTACATTTCCATGGTATATTTAAGGAAATTTCCTATCACCGAGGAAACTTTCTACGTTTCTAAAGGATTGAGGATCTAAGAGTGTGGCGCACTATCAAAGGCTTTATGGTGATGCATCCAAACTGGGCTGAGATTTATACCTTTTTCCTTTAATTTTTCCATGGTTATTCTATTTATTAATATTGATCATATAAATCTCTTCGACATTCCAGGTGAAGAAAATTGTTTTCATCGAGAAAGGAGTAAGTACAGGAGAGATGTGATCCATTTATATGTAGTGAACAGGCATGTTATTGGCCTATGTTTTGGATCATCACACGTTTTAGTTGAAGATATGATCCATTCTGGGATTTCATTGGGGTTATCAATTAGCACTGATAAAGTTTGCGCAAGGTTTTTTATGGATTGATGACAGATGATAGATCCAAAATTTGGGTACATTGTCTTTTCCTGGAGATTTCCATTTTGGGGGTTTGTTAGAGCTTGTCTAACATTATTTTTGGTTATATTCTTCCATTCTTTCACAGTTTTATCTTTCATTCATTTTTGTTCTCGTTTGATTCACTCTGTATTGAGATTATATTCCTTTAGACTGTTCCAAATATTCTTCCAAATTTCTTGCACTTTTTCAATAGATGGTATCTTTTTGACTTCTATAACTGCTTTTCGAGTTTCCCTGTAAAACTTCTTGAGGTTAGTTTGGAATATCTTTTGCTAATGGAATCTAAAACGCTTTCCATATCGTCTTGTTCTCTGTGCCTATAATTGCAGTTTCTGCTTAATTAGTTTCTTGATTGCAAGAATTTCATTTATTTAATTTATTGCTTCAATTTTGTATTCCCGCTTGATCTTCCTGCTTTTTCGTGTTGAAACATTTGAATTTACTGAAATGTCATCTAGTATTGATAACTTACATCTGATTTCCTCAATTTACTTTTGTTTTCCAATTTGTTTTAGTTTTTTTTTTTTTTGTCTGTTATTTAATCTTCTATTTTTCATAGCATTAAGTTTTTTCAGTAGCTGCTAAAGCTGTTGCACGTATAACATTATTTACTTCTGTGACGTTTTCCAGTCGTCTGTCCGTTAACAGTGTTCGCGCAGCAGCGTTATATATTTGCAGAGTTTGTTTATTGGACTTTGTCATATGAATCTTTGGAAGCCTGTCGCTTTCTGACATTTGAGTGCAAGTTACTGATAATTTGAATGATGTGGTTTTTC